AAAAAGGATATACCATGTTCAGGTACAAATTCTCTACGATGAAAGTTATCTCTATGTATAACTAAAATGTACCAATAAAATAAAAAGAAAATAATGGACAACTGAAAGCCTTTACTCTAAAATTAGGAAGAAGACAAAGATGCCCATTATCACCATTCCTGTTCGGCATATGCTCTGGAAACATTAGCCTGAGCAATTAGACAAGAGAAAGGAAAAGAATAAGGGAAGAATAGAAGCTGTTAAAATATTGTTTGCTGATGACATGACTCTACATATAGAAGACCACAGAACTTCACCAAAAGACTCCTAAAATAAATAATTAAATTTGGTAGTGTAGCAGGATATTAAAAAAAATCAACAGCATTCCTAGAGACCAATGAGAAACTCACGAAGAAATTAGGGAAGTAACACCTTTCACAATAGCATTTAAAAAAATAAAACACAAAGGAATCTAAGTACGGAAGTGGATGACTTCTAAGGTGAAAACGACTGCTCTGAAAAAAGAAATCACAGAGGATATCGAAAAGTGGAAAAATATCCCCTATTCTTGGATGGCCAGAATCAATATGATAAACATAGTTACACTTCCAAAACTGTTACACAGATTTAATCTAACCCTAATCAAATACCAATAGCATTCATTACAGAACTAGGAAAGCAGTTCTAACATTTGTGTGGAACCGAGCAGCAAAAGCAATCCTGGCAACAAAGGGAAGGGAAGGATCATAATCCCTGATTTGAAGCTTACTACAAAGCTGCAGTGATAAAAACATCATGATGCTGGCAAAAAAAAAAAAAAAAAAAAAATCTATAACCAAACAAGTAACAACAACAACAACAGCAAAAATACCAGACTTGAGGATCAATGGAACAGAATAGAAGACGCAGAAGCAACTCCAAGCACAGTCAGCCACCTTATGATGAAGGGGCCAAACACCTTCACTGGAAGAAGGACAGCCTCTTTAACAAATGGTCCTGGTACAAGTGCCTTTCGGCACGCCAAAGATAGACTCTAGACCCGTATCTTTCACCACATACTAAATTAAAATGGAAATGGACCACAGATATAAATATCAAAGCAGAAACAGTATGCGGGGAGACAGAACAGGTAAAACTCTTAAAGACATAGGTACACAGAAAGACTTTATAAGTAAAACCCTGACTACATAGGGAACATTACAAAGAATCAAAAATGGGACCACATAAATTAAAATGCTTTAGCACAGCAAAAGAAACCACCAACAGAGTAAAGAGACAAACTGTAGAATGGGAAAAAAATTTTTGCCAGCCACTCCTTAGAAGACTAATTCCTAGAATATATAAGAACTCAAAACAAAATGAGACACCCTAAATGTAAAGACCCAGTCCAGACACGGGCACCTGAAATGAACACACACTTCTCAGATGCAGAAATATAATAGCAAGTAAATACATGAAAAAATGTTCAATGGTCATTTGAGAAACGCAAACTTAAACAACAGAGATTCCACTTCCAGAAATCAGTAACTAATGTGGTGAGGCTGCAGGGGAAAAGGAACCTTCTCCAAGACTGATTAGAGTGTAATTTGTTCAACCACCATCGAGATTAGTATGGTGATTCCTCAAAAAAAAGAAAACTAGGGGCTGGGGATTTAGCTTAGCGGCATAAGCACCTGCCTTGCAAGCAGGCGGTCATCAGTTCGATCCCCGGTACCGATAAAAAAGAAAAAGACAAAAAAAAAAACAAAACAAAACTAGAAGTTCTACCTGACCCAGCTTTTCCCTTTCTAGGTATCTTCCCAAAAGAGTTAAAGTTACACCACAGTGATACATATGTACCCATGTTTACAGTCGTGTAATTTAGAAGAGTGAAATCTTGAAAAAGAGACTGCAAGCTTATCAGCAGGTGAATGGATAAAATGTGGTATTTACATACAATGAGTGCCACTCTGCTATAAAGGAGGATAAGCACGAGACTTCCTAGGTTAATGGGTGCATCGAGACCATGATCTTACGTGAAATAAATTAGTCATCCAAATTTAAATATCACATTATTTGCTCCAAAGTGTAAATGTAGCAAAATAGAGAATGGGAAGAAGCAAGAACTTGTTCAAATAAGACAGGGAGAATGGGGTGGGGAAGGAGGAAAGAGGGATTTTAGGAAGAGGATTGAAGGGAAAAATGGAAACAGAACTCTTCTCCACTGGGAAGGGCAGAAGTGCTGAATGGAGGGGAGGGTAATGGGACAAAAACAGAAGTAAGATACATTACGCACAGGCAGAAAACTCCCCGATGACTGTGATCAGCGCGTACGACAAACATGTACAAATAGAGAAAGAACGTGAAAACAGCGCGCGTTCTACATGAGAAACACAGAACATAAATAAAGAGCAAAGTACAAGACAACAGGAAGCAGGCAGCAGAAGTGCCTGAGAAGGGAAGGGCCCGGGGACGGAGCGGAGACGGGGAGCGGCGGAGGGGGGCAGAAGACGGGGTGTGCTGCGCACGTGCACAGACTCACCGGAGGACAGGCACTTCACAGTACAATCCTCAGTGCAGACATGCACCGATGAGACATTAAAAAAGAGGAAATTAAACCTTACATAAGCATAAAGAAACATCGAAATTTCAATAGTGAAATAGAAAGAAAACCAAAAACCCTGAAAACAAATTTTATCTAAAAAAATCAATTAAATTATAAAATGATCGACAGATGGATCTGGGAGAACAAGACCCTTACTTTCTTCCTCAGAACAGGATGGCAATTCTTCGATCTTGGTTTCTCTCAGTGAATCTCCAGTCAACCTCCCAAATTCCACAGCACACTGGAGTGTGCACACCGTCCAGCTCTGGGACCATCAGGAATAAAGTTGTTGTGAACACTGACAAAAATGTTTTTGGGCCCATGTTTTAATTGCCTTCAGTAACTGTCCGGGAGTAAAATTGCTGAACCATACCACAGATAAATATTTCACTTTGTAAGACAAACCAAACTATTTTTAGAACATTTTCCTCGATAGGCTTTTAAAACTTGTCACTTTTCTGTTTAGGCCTATGATCCCTTGGAATTAGTTTTTGCGTGGAGAGAGAATATGTTTAAGGTTAATTTTTTCCCACAGGGATGTCCAGCTGTCCCAGCATCATTTATTAAGACTTTCCTTGGGGCCGGGGATTTAGCTCAGCGGCATAAGCACCTGCCTTGCAAGCAGGCGGTCGTGAGTTCGATCCCTGGTACTGATAAAAATGAAAAAGACAAAAAAAAAAAAAAAAAAAAAGACTTTCCTTTTTCCCATTATCTTGACACATATATCAAATACAATTGATTATACAGGTAGGATCTGTTTCTGTTACTATTCTTTATTGGTCTCTTGCTATATCAAGCCTATCCAGGTTTACAAGAAGTCTTAAAATCAAGTTATAGCAGTCTCCCAGTTGTGTTCTTTTGAAAGACATTTCTACCAGGCAGAGAATCCTAGCTCAGTATTTATTGTAACACCTGAACTTTCTCAGCACACTGTCTTCTGCAGTCAGTACTGTCAGTTGAGAAGTCAGTTTATTGCTTTAATTATTGTTTCTCTGAATACAATCATTTTTTTCTGGCTGATTTTATTTTTGTTTTATTATTTATTTTTACTATGAAGTATCTAGCTGTACCTTTGTTTACATTTATTCTGCTTGACTTTATGGAACTTATAGAATGTGCAGTATGATTTTATTTTTTAATCAATTTTGGGAAACACTTACCATGAGTTCTTGGTATGTTGCTTCTGTACTATTCTCCTTCTCCTTTGCTTTTGAAATTCAAAGTACACTGTCAGACTGTCTCACTCTGAAATGATGCCTTTTACTGTTTTCTGAATTTACTGTAATTTTACCTTTTCATCTATCTGGATGGTTTCTACTTCCATTTTATAATCTTATAATCTTTTTAATATATAATCTTTTTTTTTTTTTTTTTTGTCTTTTTGAGGCAGGGTCTTTATGCAGTTCAGGCTGGCCTTGAGCTCACTTTGTAGCCCAGGCTGGTCTCGAACTCGCAACTATCCTCCTGTCTCAGCCTCCCGAGTGCTGGGATTACTGGTGTGAGCCATCATGCCGGGCTTTAATAGTCTTTTTAAATTTGCTGTTACAACTGTCCACTGAGTTCTAAATTTCAGTTACTATATTTTTTGTGTTCTATAATTTTATTTGATTTTTGCTCTAATTTGCTTTATCATTTTAATGATTCTAATACTCAACTAAAAATTTCCGTTGACAAATGCAAGCGTAATTATATTAAAGTCAGAGTTTTTTGGAGCCAACACCGCTGGAGCTGGCCCACAGAGTCTGTTATGGATACTGGTTCCTGTTCATAAACTCTCCCTTCTTCTGTCTCGTATCCGAGTGAAAGCGGCTCGCGGTGTGGAAGCAGCATTTGTACAAACAACTTAGGTACCTGAGAGTGCTGGTACTACAGGGTCACTTTAATTCAATTTCAGGGCTTTCATGGTTTTTGAGGCGCCCTGAAAATACGAAGCAGGGCTGTAACCTGGAACGCCTGCCTCCTTGCTCACCTTTCTGCAGCACTTAGAACCCAAGATCTGCTCAGGTCCCGACTCTTGGTAGGCCCTGTACTCTAATTTGAATCATCTTAGCCCTAGAAGGGTGTTTTCAATGGCAATATTTAGCTATTCTGGAATGCAACACGCCCTCATAAGGAGCCTCAAATGTCAGGCCAAACTCCTTGGATTTAAGTGTGTACAAATATTTTGAATTGGTCACTCTTCACTGATTTGCTAGTTCTTCAATGCCTTTGTGTATCTTTTGTTTTTTATTTCTTCTTCTTTTTAAAATTAAGTCCAGATTTTTTCTGAAAAAAATAGTTGGTATAAATGATCTAGTCTATTAGCAGGCAGTCTATTCTGTAGGTAGAAATTTCCTATGTATAGGAAATTTACATCCCAGCTTACAATTTTCTCGTATTAAGTATTCTTCAAAAATACCAAGATTACCTTGTCATTCCTTAGAGAAAATATGCTCACCTGTTGTTCTAGGATCATACTTTTTTCTCGTTCTACATTGAGCACCATTCTCTTGGTATATTCTAGCTGCTTCTCTAGGAGAGTACAACGAGACTGGGCTGAGCTTAACTGTATACTTATATCTATGAAAAAAGAATAAAAATGATTCAATTAGTTGTTCATCAAGAGGTACAGTAATGAGAAGTGCATTATGAAAATTCGATTAAGAACTTACAGTTCAAGGCTTCTTTTACCTGTTAGTACTGACTATTTTTTTATTTCACTTTATTTTTTGATGGCAACAAAGTTTATTTGAAAAAGCGTATGTGAAGAGTAAGGCAGAAACTGGCTCTGGGGAGTGAGCCCAATAAAAGTACACCCTGGAGGACACGGAGTGAGCCGCTGTGGAGAAGCCACCACAGCTTGCAGTACTGACTTTAAACATACATTTTATGACTACTTCATTAACTGTTTTTAAACTAATTTAACACTGTCTTCCCCTAAAAACTTGCAAAGCAAGCCTCTAAAAGGGGAGGATGCCGGTGACTTTTTGGATGATAAATAACCTGGCTGTTCTTAGGGAACAATACCATGCCCAAAAGCAGAAGCCGCAAGGTCCCTCGGGCGTCTGTGAGTTCCTGGGAAACTCGGGAACAGACACTCTGCCGCGCCTGTTTCCCTCTGCTTTTCAATACTGATCATTCGGCTAATTCACAAGGGGTAGCAACCCGTGTTTCATCTTTTAACTTTTTCTTTTCCTCTTCTCTTTCTTTTACTTTTCTCTCAGGGCCTCAGATAATCTTTTTCTCCCCTCTTCTCTATTTGTAAGGTGAAATACAACTTAAGCTTTGTTACGAGCTATATGAGTATATATAGGAGTATAGTGTACAAGAGAAAACTACAGTGCTGAAGTGGAATTATATACAAAGCTTCTGTTCTAAACCTCCCAGGCCCTGTGCATTAAATCCTCTCCATAATCTTCAGACGCCTCTACTTGCTTGCCATTTCCTCGAATTAATCTTGTTGTCCTTCCATGTTTAAGAAAATTTTTTTTGTTCATTTCATTTTTATACTGTTTAACTACTACTGTTTATACTTCAAATTTTAAAAATTAGTGTTAACTGAAAATACAAAGCACTTCAATTATATTATATGCTAAACTGGATTTTATTGGTTATTCTGAAAATGTCCTAATTTCTAAACTAAATTTACTTAAAAATTATTTTTTATCTCAAAAATTTATGAACTTGGATAATAGATATAATAGAGATGAGTTCAAAGTTATATTAACGTCCTGCAAATTTTAAACTATCTGAGAGTAAGTCCTGAAAGTCTCCTTGTATACAACAACAAAGATACTTGAATAAATTGCTTAGACTGGACTGATTATTTTCTAACTGTAAACGCTGGCAAGCCTCCCGCCCTGCACTTCAGAGAGCTCCTCATTTCCCACCTTTCTTCTGCTTTATTAGTTCCCGGTGTGCCACATTTCTCTCGTTGGTTTCATCCTCCAAGGCTTTTTTGTACTGTGCTGCTTCTCTGGATAGTGTGTTCAGGTTATCTTCAGCTTGTGTTCTCTCCAGCTCTAAACGATGAATCTTTTCCTGAAGAGTTTTTAAGGCTAAAATAAGAGCTGTTAAAAGAAGAAAATTTATTTCATGTTTTAAGAGAAAGTTTTTGAAAACTTAAAATCACAGTACCATACAATAATGTAAAAAGTAAGACATATGTTTTTACTGTAGCCATAAAAATGTCTGGTCATGTATATTCCTCATAGAAATATAACTAAAACTCTGAAGGGGGATAAATTTCCTTTAACATATCTCATGAGTTATAAAATTTTCAAATATTATTTTATTCTTATTTAGCTGTAATGTCAAACTATAAAACTAGTGATGAGTAGAATATAAATATTGTGGTAACTTTTATATAGCTTATATTCCATTAGAGGGTGTTTGTTAGAGGTATTTGGTTTTTACAAATGAGCTAAAAAATTATACATATTTTGTTCTTATCATACCTGTAGCTAGCTCACTGATTTGAATGATTATTTCTTGTAGCTTAAAAAGCTAATCTAATGGCAACCATTATTATAGAATTTTGAAAAAGATGACATCAATCAGCATCTTATAAGGTAATTTATATAGCATAAGATATGCCTGGAGTGATAAGTATTTCCCTAAATCAATTTTAAGATCTAAGTTTATATTTTAAACTTACATTATGATACTTACATTCTGTAGTCACTTGGATAAGACTTCCAAAAGGGTTTTTAAAAGGGTAATTTTGGATATAGGCAATTTCTGCATCTAACTGATCAAGCTGCAATGCTATTTAATTTAGTAGCATTCTAAATCTGACCTTTTATTCTTTAAAGAGTACTTTTTTATTTTATAAATTATATCTCTCTCTCTTCTGTGTCTGTCTCTCTTTTTTGCTGGTACTAGGGACTAAAGCCAGGGCTATGAATATGCTGGGCCTACTCAACCCCTGAAATATACTCCCCGTCATCAACTGCTGGGTTTTTTGTTTATTTGTTTTGTACAGGGGATTGAACTCATGACCTTGTGTTTGCCAAGTAACTGCTGTTTTTATAATAAACTTGTGCTATATATATATCCAGCTGGTCCTTACTAATTTTCATCTCATAAACTAAGAAGACAAAATAAAAAAATTAGTCAGTTGTGTAGGTTAATAGAAATTTACTAATAGGGTAAAAGTTAGGAGTTTTATAAAACTTTTGTAAACGACCGTACTATTTTCTGCATAAAAATGGCTGAAGCAAAACGATCATAAATTCAAACCCAGTCTGGCAACTTGGTGAGATCCTATCTCAAAGGAAAGGTGTTGTGGGGGGCAGGCAGGGACCACAGCTCATTGTGAAGGCCTGTGTTCAAGTCCCAGTACCACAAAAAAAAAAAAAAAAAAAAAACACAAGTTTTTATAACATACTTTGTACCATTCCTCCTCTAGTTTTGTGTAAAATTTTTTATTAGGGTTACCTTGGCTATTTGGACTATGAAGCATTTTAGCAGCAGTAACTTCTAAGTTCACAGGGTGGCAATGCTGAGATGATTCATCCCGGATAAACGGTGGAACAAACACTCTTTCTGGAGGTTTAAGATAGCTTCCTACTATACTGTGCATTAATTCGGAATCCATTATCTGCAAAGAATAAAGGAATGATATAGTTCAGCATCTTTCTTGTCTGACGGATAAAAGTTCAGGTAGAACTTATAACAAAATAATCATATACTATGGAGTTATACCTTTATAAACCTATTCATTACAAATTCAACTACAATAAACTCAGCAGTAACGAAGAAAAATGACTATTTATATGTAGCTAGTATTGGCAGTTCTGCCCGACTTTCAATAACCCTACAGCTTTCACTAGGCATGATGTAGGTGACGGGAATTTGCAGTGTCTCCACTGCTTATTGAGTCCCACGAACCAGTCATAGACTGAGCACCTGTCTATACAAGGAATGACTCGAAGGCCATGATGGCGAACCTTGTATAAGGTTCAAACACAACAGCCTGCTGCAGAACAACTGCCACAGGCTTACCACCACAGCTCTAGGATTTAAAGAGAAAGTACACATTCTAAAAGACAATACAGCTTTCAAACACAAGTGAGCAATACACTTGAATTTTCTAATATTAATTACTGGATGGCAATATACTAGTTTATTAAAGGTTTCCTGAAGAGTAATTTTGAATACATGAAATTTCTGAATCTAATCATTGAATAAGACACATCTCGGTTTAATGCACGAATAGTCTAATTATGCAGTTTAGAATGGCTGCAAATCTGAAGATTCTAGAGTAAACTTATCCTGTTATTTTTTAATAGGTGAGTTTTTAAAATATCTTAGCAGACAATTTCTTAACTTTTCTAAATAAATTTATTTTCCTTTCTGCAACTTAAATATTTTAGAAATATATGCTATCTAATAGACACTAGTCAGTACTAAATTAATTCATAACCGCATTGCAGGGGAAAAGGTAATAATTATTCATAAAAATAATTCACTGACACAATTGTAAGAAGCTTGCTTTAAAATATAAATCTTTAAGAATTCCATTATAATACTAGCTTATTTTGATTTCTGAGAATTGCACATTTTTCATTTTGTTCTCAACTCACAAGACAAAGGGCAGGCACTTCCTCTTACTGTCCTTCTATTTCCTAGAAGGACAAAGGGCACAATTAACTTTCTAGGACTTATACTTTGTCCACTGCCATAGCTGGTTATTTTATCAGACAATTAGATTGGTCTATGTTAAAGATTATTACTGTTGTGGTTTATATGGTATATACTTACCTGAATACTATTAGACAGCTAGAAAATAATCAGCCTTGAAAACTATCAAACCTGCCAGCCCCAATTAGCCTACGCTTGCCCTATCTGCCATCACTATTCTCTTGCTTGATGGCTTCCCTTTAAGGCAGGTAAAGCAAGAACAGGCTTTGCTTTGAGGCCTTATAATGATTGCATTCATCAGTTGGAATGAGTTTATCTTGGTTTGATTTTATTATGTGTGATGGTATGAACAGCTATTTTAAAGAAAACAAATCATTACAATAGCCAGCGCTGATTTAATACCATCTGACTCTGAAGTCCTGCCATGCCTTTGCTCTTGTTTCTTGGTTCTATGATGTTGTATCTTACTGGATTGTATTATGTATGATACTATAAACAAATTTTCTATGGAAAATGAGATAATAAAGTAGCCATTGTTCATTTTCTGTTATTTGGTTCTGAATGCCCTGTAATATTTTATTCTCTTGAATGGTTTTGTATTATTTTGTTATGCTTGATACTATTGTATATGAAGTTATGCTCAACTATTTCAAAGAAAGAAACATTATGGTAGTAACTGTTAATTACAGGTTGTCTTCTGGTGAAATACTGTGTTGCTTACATTGTTCTCTTCTGATCTGCTCTGTTATGTCCTGTTGTGTCTTAATCTCTTTAAAAAAAAAAAAAAAGAATAGGCTGATGGGGCTGGCATTTTGACTGCTAGTTTTCAAGGCTGATTACTTTTCAGGTACGACTATTTTCAAGGAACCAAGACCAATGTTCCTCTGCAGCTTCATGTGCTCACAAGTGGGGCTTTGGGGAGGTGACTGAAGCATGAATGTGCGATTCTGTCCCTGGATTAGCCCACGGATGGGTTCACATCTGGGTGTCTGCACCACTGGAGGTAAACCAGGTAGAAGGGGGCGGGTCCCTGCGGGGGCAGCCTGGAAGGGTACACAGATGTCCTTCCTCCTCTTTTCATTCCTGTCTGCTCCTGACTGCCACCCTGTCTTGGAACCAGTCAACTATGGACTAAAACCTCTATAATCTGTGAGACAAAATAAACTCATCCCCCTTTAACTTATAGGTGTTAGGAGTTTTGTCCCAGCAACCACAAAGTACCTAAGACACGTTGGCTTAAGATTTGCTGTAAATAGTGGATGCCCTTTGCTCCTTCTTCACAACCATATTTTGCTGTTGTTATTGGGACCCTTTAACTGATCGTGTCTCAGTCTGCCAGTTGCTGCTGCCTAGATACTATCTATCCTATAGCACATTTCATGAATCTAAGATACTGTTCTCTTAAAAATTAGGAGATAAAATTTAAACACAGCTAGCTCACTGCAAAGTGGAGGTAGGACCCCAAAGTATGTCTGGCTGTCTTCAAAGAGAGAGGTAGGTGGTTGAAGCAATTCCAAAAAACCCTGGACTTATTCAAGATACCTAACTCAGTTCTTATCCCCTATATTCTTTTAATCATTCCTCCTCTGCTGCTGCTCCTGGAATCATGGTCATCTTTATCTCTCTCCAGAATACTTTTTAGCACTCTCTGTAGGGTTGGTTTGGTAGTCATGAATTCCTTCAGTTGTTCTTTATCATAGAACTATCTTATTTTTCCATCAATTTTGAAAGATAGTTTTTCTGGGTAGATCAACCTGGGATGGAAGTTGTTTTCTTTCAGGGTTTTAAATACTTCACTTCAAACTCTTCTGAACTTGATGGTTTATGTTGACAAATCTGCTGTGATTTCTGACTGGTTTTCCTTTATAGGTGCTCTTGCCTCTTTTCTTTAACAGCTTTACATACTCTGTTCTTGTGCTGGATTTCTGGGATTTTGACTATTATATGTCTGAGTGTAGATTTACTTTGGTTATGGCTAGTTGGAGTCCTATGTGCCTCACTTATCTGCATACCAGATCCATTCTCTATGTTTGGGAAGTTTTCTTCTATTATTTCTGTGAATATCCTTTAAATTTCATTTGTATTGACCCCTGTTTCTTCATTGATACCTGTCATTCTTAAATTATGCTTCTTTGCCTCATCTTGCAGTCATCATTATTTCCTGATTTCATGTTATTTTTAAGAGATCTTTCCTTTCATGATCACTAGCTGCAATCCTGTCTTCAAGGTATGAAAGTCTATCTTCAGTCTCTTTCAAGCAGTAAAAGAATAAAATTTTCCCACTAGTTGTTATACACTTAAAGAGCGCTTCCTCTAACCCAAGCATATAATCATATTACAAATTTGATTTTTGCACCAAATGAAAATTTAGTTTGAGTTTTTTTAAATGTAACTGAAACAATGAAGATTACCAGAAGATTACCAGAAAGTTAAAAATTAAACTACTTAAATGTGTAAATATATAACAAAGTGGGCATAAGCCAAGTAACCACACACTGGTAGAATGACTGTAAGGTAAAGACAAAGATGAAATAGTGAAGAAGCCAGAAAAAGACTTTTTTTGGCTTGGATCGTCGATATCCCCCAGAGGCGCACCTGCTAAAGGCTGTAGCCAGGCTGTTGGGCTACTGGACGGTGGCAGAAGCTTTAAAGGTAGGATCTAGTGAAAGGAGGCTCGCCCTGGAAGGAGCCGGTCCGAATGCTGGCTCTCCCTGTTTCAGTTGCCCAGCTACCAGGAGGTGAACGGCTTTCTCCAACCGCGGATTTTTGCCATCATGGGCCGCCTCACCACAGGACTGCCGGTCATTGGACTGAACCTGAGTATGACCCAAAATTTCTTCATAGGCTAATTTCCTTGAGTATTTTGCCAACAGAGGCTATGCTGTGACGTAACACCCAGAGGTTTTCATGTAATAGAGGTCCCACCTAAGTCTACCTTGTATAACACTGTTATAAACAAATACAAACTCTTCATAAAAGTTTAATTACATACAGAACTGAGGCACCCTGGAAAAAAATTCACTTTGAAGAAAGGTGAAAGAAGTACAAACAGCTTGATCCCAAGTCAAAGCCTGACTTGGTTTGCGTGTTTCATGACGGCAGTCATTCTAATCCCCTGACCCAGTTCTCTGGACTTAAACATGGGTCCTGAGGAGAGGGCCATGGGTAGAAATGGTAAGAATTTCACCGATCCGATCACCGAGGACTGCATCATTAGCTCCCCTGCTTTTCATATGTTGCTGTATTTCAAAGGATGGGGAAGTTGACAGAGACTGCTTTGGATTTTGATCCCTTAAGGATTCTGGCACGTTGGCAGAATTATTCAGGAAGGGAGCAGCTGGAGAAAAAACATGTTCACAGGTATATACGAGAGAAATTCTAGAGAATACAAATTAGCACCTATATATCAATCTTCATTCTTTTTTTTAACCAATCTCCATTCTTAATATCTGATTCCTAAATCTGGAAACCCATCGATGCAAGAAAATCCTTAGCTATTACCTGTTTAAACATTGCCGCCCTATTATCTTCTTATGGAACTTGAGATGCTTGCTGAATATACAGCCTCTGTGTCTCTCAATCTCCTTTATATTCTTTATCTCTATTTTATATGCTGTACTACACTCTTGGTACTTTCTTAAACTCTACCGTCCACTTTACTAGGGTTTTTATTTTTAAGCTTTTCAACCCACCCATTATTTAAATTTTAATTATATTTTTCATTTTTTGAGTTTTTAAAAAAAAAAATCTGTTTTGAGAGTCTCTTGTTCCATTTTCCATCACTATATTGCCAATTCTCTTTAGGAATGTCTTTAAACATCTTTACCATACTTATTTTTTGTTCTTTTATTTTGGAAATCAGTGTATGCAGTCTCTGCCTTCTGTTGACTTTTGTTTGCAATGGCTGGTTTATTTACATTTACTGATTTCTGGGTTGTAAGCTCACATTTCTCACAA